CAGGCGAACACTTTGAATTGTCACGGCTCAATGGAAAATCTATTTGAAAATGTTCCACTGCTTTCAAAGTGGCTTACCTCAATCTTACCAATTCTCATCCATCAAATAAAAAACACCTTTCTTGGCACATTTTTGTGAAGAAAAAAACCCCTACACATTAAGCCAGCCTAGCCTTGCATGCTTGCGTATAGTGACCGAGAGGGACCAGTATGATTCCTGGTGTTAACAGCTAGTAAATCAGGGCCCATCCCCATGGTGCTCTACTAGCTCAATTATATCCACATGTAGCCATTATTCCTGCCATGTTAGCTGGAGTGAGCAGCATATTTTTAAAAGGTGGGTTTCCATAACACTTGCTGAAAGCTATGCTGGTTGTCGAAACACATGTTTGGGTTCTGTGGAAGCCAGGAACTGGCTGTTTTAATGTAGAGTAGCTATGGAGCACAGCAGGAGTCAGTGTGCTCTCTTTGTTTTCAGGAAAGTCTCTGCTGGTATGTTTTCAGAGGTGAATATCTGGTCCATCACCTGTAGAGACTCACAAATAACATCTGTTGCTTTCTTAATACAAGAGAGGAGTAACGTTCTCTAGAAACTCTAAATTCAAGGTTCAAATTCTGATAGCTGGATCTGCTTGAGTGAGCGGTTGGACAGAGTAATGGATCAGGTCTGTCTGTGATTTCTGACATCCAGAAACACACTTAACAATGTTATCAACCAGACAGGGTCATGAAAGACATTAATCAAATATGTCCACTCTACTGCTAAGTAACGAGCAAACAAGTAACACTTCTAATTGGTGACAGTTGTCTTTCATTATTAAACTGAACTTTGCCAGATGCTGCTGGCAGGTATGTGACTGCCACAGAGCACTTTTTAACATATGTTTGAGAGTTTCTGGATTTAGAGTGGGACTGCAGCCAGTTATGTGTCATGCCTTTGGCGCGTGCCAACCTTTTGCTAAACACCCCCCCCCCCCCCCCCCTCTCCCTCCCCCAGTTTTTTTCTTTTTCCAGCAAGGGGGGATGGAGAGCCTCAATGCTATCATTCTTTGATTCTGTTTGAATCTGGCCGCATGTGAGCAGGAAAAGGAGCCAAACGTGCTTCCTGAGTGTTTCAGGAGGGGAAACGCTGTAATAAGCAAGGGGTGGGCGGTTAAAAATAACTGGGCTATATAAGCCCAGAGCAGGATCCTAGTCACTCTCAAACTCCCACTGACTCTCACTCGGTCAGGACGTTCCGTGCAGGACCGCCGCTACCTCTCACTCGCACACACATGTTTTCCGTGAAAGTCGGAGGATGCAGGGCTGATGTGTCCAGATCCTCACCACAGCAATGAAGCCCTGAGAGAACTGACACAGACATGATTCATGCCAGCATTGTTGTCTTTCATTTGAGCAGCCCAAAGACATCTTCAAGTGACACGATTTCGTGATAGACAACATGAGTCAGTCATTACATTTCAGACATCCATATGTGCATATTTTTCTTTAATTATATTTGGATATTTCCCTTCTCTTCCAATAGAAACTAAAAGTTCATAACTGTAGAGTTTCTTCCATAATAATTGAAAGACTACATGCACACATTGTAATTCATTTTTCAATTTTTCATGGAATGACAGGGAAGTACAATGGTAACTGCCAAGTTTATGTTTAAACAATCTTTCAAAGAAATTGCCAGAAAACCAAAATGTCACTTCAATTCTTAGGGTGGGATAAACATTTTCTTTTTACTTTTTCTTATGTGGGAACTGATTATTATGTTATTTTTTTATTCAAAGTCAAGAACAAATAAAATACATGCAACAAAAAGGAAATTGAAATAATCAGAGCGTCAACTCATGAAGAAAAATGATTATTTGAAAGATCCTCACTGGAACAACATCCCAACTGTCCAGATTAAACAGAAGCACCAAATGAGTAAACATTATTGTGAAATGCCGGTTACACAATGCTAAAACTATTGTGCAAATGTCAGTTCAGGGAAAGGGTTTTCTGAAGATTTTGTGAAAGTGTTGTTCATCCAGATTTAGCAGATGCTCCAGATGCAGTAGTTTCAGAAATGTCGCGGTTGGTTTAAAGACTATGTTTTGGTTAAAGGAGGCACAGCCAACAATCTGAAAACACCAACTCAAAGCTGCTTGCCCTGATATTGACCTCTGAACTCTCTCTAAAGGTGGAAAGCCAACGCAGGGCACCACCTTTCAGAGCCACCTCCACTGGCAGATGTTTTCTAGAGAGAGCAAATCAGAAAGCGTCCCACCCATCTTATGTGAAGCCCTGACAGCCAGCTCAAATTAAATTATCTCATCGGGTATGTACACTTCTCCACAGGAAGTGACGGCTCAGAATGAAATACAAACCTGTCTCGTAAACGTCATGCGAATTACTGAGTTCTCCCACCAGACTTGCCAACTGTCTTTTTTCCCCGGTGGATATCATCTCAAAGCAGTGCAGTGTGCAGCTTTACAGGATTTTGCACTGCTGTCCAGCTGGCTTTCGAACACAAGCAGCACACGGCTCTCTGCTGCTTTCTCACTTTTATAAACAGGCCCTGTCAACATAGAAATGAATTGCAGAAAATGATAAGTTTAGTGAGTTTTGATCAGAGCACTTGTTTGATATATATATATATATATGATGATTTAACACTATTTATTGTACCAAACTAAAAACAAACCTCAAAAAACAACTATATCTGGAGCAAATTGATGTTTGTGAGCAATAGGCCAAAATATAACCCATCTCATCTCTTTTGCTAACTAATCGAAGGAAATCATTTGAAGACCTTGACCTGTGGGTGATTGATTGTCTTTCCTCACCAGTTCTTACACTCTGACATAAAAACAAAACATAATGCGCCTTTAAAAAATGCTACATTAGTTGGTGATTTTGGAAGAGTTAACTAGAGAGCTTAGTGTCGGGAGTCAGAGCTTGGTAACTTTGGACAGAGCAAGACCGCAGTCCTCCCATTGTCTTTGTTTGCCTGGGAAGAAACGCAACCCAAGCTGTGACTTCATATTGAATACACAATTATGAATAGGGTAGGTGTCTTTTCATCTAGTCAGCGTATGAAGGAGGCCGATAATAAACAAGTATCTTAAGCATGGAATCCAAAGAGTCATATATATTTCACAAGAATTCTTTCGCTGAACAGAAGTGTTTTTTGTGGGTAAATCAAAGTGACTAAAACTACCAAGAGTTTAGTCGTGGATCAAGTTCCTTAACTGAAACTTTAAGGCATATACAGGCGTTTAAGGTGACTGAGCAATAGGGGAAGTGAGCCCACTCTCACTCTCACTGGTAGCAGAGCAGAAGGGGTTTCAGGGTCAGAGTCAGCGGTCAGGGGTTCGGACATCAGCCTGGCTGCTCGGCTGCCTCTAAAAACACATTTCCTCTCCGGCCTTACTGGACACCCTCTGCGTGACGCACTTTCCACAGAACACAGTGCAAATCAGGCATCAGGATGTGGAAACCTCACAGCTGCACTCACAGAGTTTATTGGTGATGGTGGACATGACAGCTCGATGATAGGTGGTGTGTCTGTCACACGCAGCTGAGTGGCGCAGGTTATGGTTTTTTGGTTGTTGCAGACACAGGGGAGAAAATCACTACAGATATGCAAACAGACATACACCAGGCAAGCTACATTTTTACAAATATCCCGAAACTCTACTCATATATTCTGTCAGAGTGTATTCAAAAGCAACATTTGAAAGTACAGCTTGGTGTTAAGTGTTATTGTCCATGCAGTTAAAACTTCTGTATCTATCTATCAGATAGATAGATAGATAGATAGATAGATAGATAGATAGATAGATAGA